GCGAGAGACCCACTTGCTTCTTTCTCTCCGCTGCCCGTCGTCCTGCTCGTCTGCGGGCACCGGCGCAGCTGGCTGCTCGTGGGTCTGGGGCCGCTCGCCCGCGCTAAAGCCGAGGCCTCGGGGGATGTGGGAGCTGCGGGACGACTGCTAGGCGGTAACGCGAACGGTTCCTTTGCCCCTAAGGTTGGGGCATGATGCAGGCTTAGAAAATGCTCATTTACTCATAATCCACAAAGTGTTAACTGGGAGGCCTTAACTCACTCCGTTCTTTGTACGAACTGATGCAGTTGATGACAGCGTTGATCGTGCTTGCAGAAGCGTAGTTACAAGAGAACCTTCAACAAGGTGTATTTTATTTGCAGTCGTGCTGACTTGTTTCTTTGGGGGGAAATGGGGTTACAGTTCTAGCTGAAGACACAAACTGATCTACATGTGTTTCGCGGTCCATTGGAAGAATGTCAGATGACAAAGATGTGCTTCGAGATGTGTGGTTTGGACGAATACCAACCTGTTTCACTTTGTATCAGGATGAGATAACTGAAAGGGAAGCTGAACCTTACTATGTGAGTATAACGAAGGTAGTCACAGTCCAATGCCATAGGTGTTTGTTTCCTTCATTCTCATCATATGTGCCACTACATGTTGTGAAAAAAACCATAACAAAACACTTTTTTCTTCTTGTTCCTGGTACCTGTGAGTACAGTAAGCCCTGTGATCATGCTGCATCATTTGTCTCTTTTCACAGCAGGTTCAATACTTTGAGCTTGTTTCACCAACGCGATAAACTTACCACAGATAATTTTTAAAAAGTCGACAAGTAATTAGGTAAAAGGAGGAGGCTCTATGTGTAGTCATGGTGAGTTTGTATGTTCTTGGATAGTGACTAGAAGAAGGGAGAGAACTTTCATGTTACCTTACTGCAGCAATAACTTCAGTCAGAGCTTTGTGCAATGTTAAACACAGAGATCAGTCGCCTGTGTAACACAAACCAATAACGAACGCTGGCTTCGCTATTTCTACTCATAGACTTTTTCTGCTCATTTTCTTTTCTTTAAATGTTAGCAGCCATGAGAGGCATAGCTCAGATGTAGAAAATGAGCCAGCAATGTGCCCTTTGCGGCCAAGAAGGCCAATGGCATCCTGGGGTGTATCAGAAGGGGTGTGGTGAGTAGGTCGAGAGAGGTTCTCCTTCCCCTCTACTCTGCCCTGGTGAGACCACATTTGGAATATTGTGTTCAGTTTTGGGCCCCTCAGTTCAAGAAGGACAGGGAGTTGCTTGAAAGAGTCCAGTGCAGAGCCACAAAGATGATGGAGGGAGCGGAGCAGCTCCCATATGAGGAGCGGCTGAGGGAGCTGGGTCTCTTTAGCTTGGAGAAGAGGAGACTGAGGGGTGACCTCATTGATGTTTATTAATTTGTAAAGAGCGAGTGTCAGGAGGAAGGAGCCAGGCTCTTCTCTTTGATGTCCAGTGACAGGACAAGGGGCAATGGGTGCAAGCTGGAGCATAGGAGGTTCCATGCGAACACTGGACCAGGCTGCCCAGAGAGGTTGTGGAGTCTCCTTCTCTGGAGACATTCAAGGCCAACCTGGACGCGTTCCTGTGTGACCTGGTCTAGGTGATCCTGCTCTGGCAGGGGGGTTGGAGTGGATGATCTTTCGAGGTCCCTTCCAACTCCTGTGATTCTGTGAAAAGTAGCTCTAATGTTCAGTGACTGAACTGAATTGCTAGCTGTTGATAAAAATGAGAGTGAGATGGATGTATTTGAGTTGTAAACTCGAAGGGCCTTCTGTAATCATGTTGTATTTTTTTATAGTGTACTCAGCAGTTTTCATCCTTTCAGCACCTAATAAACATTTGGTTGATAGACAATGTTAGCTGATTCAGTCAAACCCAAATTTGAAATGTAACAAGTATATGAGAATAAATCTTGTTCTACAAGTTATGTGATTCTGAAATCCTTAAATCTTGTCGTATCCCATTCTACTCTATTTGAAAATATTACTGGGTAGAAATATTTTTTTCTTTCATGTTCAACAACATCTTTATGTCATTAATTTCTGCATGTTCAAAGGGTTTTTGAAACCTAATAAAGTGTTAACACTTTTTGTTCAGTGATGATAGTGCTCTCCTTTCTATGCTTTAGTTTCACCACTAAAAAAAAAAAGGAGCACTTTTACCTCATGTGACTGACCTATTGTCAAATGCATCTGAGTTATCTAGAAGTTTCAGACTTTAAATTCTATGTATTTTTATATTTAAAAATAATTTAAAATATATATGTATGTATTGTATAAGAATTTCATGAAAGGAGTGAGTGTAAGTATAGAGATGTGCAGCCTTGGTCTGTTTAACATAGGCATGAAAACCGTGAGACCCCATTATCTTCATGGCGTGGCCAACTTTCTAAGCTTAAGAGATAGTTTTGAGCTGGTAGGGTTTCTTTTACTTACTCCACTTTAGGTGTGCACAGACATTCTCCAGGCTTATTTCTCTATTTCTGCAAATCTGGTTATTCACAGATCACAATTCTAAAATGTTATCTTGTTTTTCAGGCCATGTTGGAGCTGATAATACAGCTTCTTGAAGGGACCAAGGATTTGTAATAGTAAAAGGCAGAATAGCAATCAAGGCTTTAAATCATGGATTAGTTCTCGTGGTTTCAGAGTGCATCTACGTTAATGCTTTTGTCCAGTTCTGGAATGCATTTTTGAAGCAAGTCCTCGTAGTTTCCACTTAGTGTGCCCAGGTTTGCATCACACAGCAGTCTTATAGCCCACAAGCTGAATCATTTTCATGTGAAGCCGAAGCAGAAGTTGTGCTTCAGCTGCTAATGGGCATTTAAGGTACAGGATCAAGCTGGAGCTAAATTGAAGGGAAAAAAAACATCAAAATCCCCTAAATTGAAGTAAAAAACTTTGTGTAGTGAACGTTCTCAGCCCTTGACACCAGCTGTTCAGCTTTACACATCTGCTCTTATCTCACCTCAGTATTTGTTAATATAGATAAAATCTCTGTATCCCAGATTGCCTTCCATAAATTGGAGGGCTGCATGGGAAGGAAATACTGGCATCATTCTGTTAAGAGGGGAAAGAAGCTTCTGCTCTGAGGAACTTGCTTTATGAAGATGAAATCATGGACCTGGAGGGTGAAGGGTTAGAAAAACAACCCAGAATCCGTGTGATGGATTTCAGTTTGTGAGTGGTGTGGCAGGAGACCTTTGTCAGTCAGATGCATTAGCACTGCGCGGGAGTGATTCATGCATGTATTGCATTATGGCACAGTGTGGGGTACCAGAGCTAATTTAAAATGAGCTTGTCTATCTTTGAGAAAGAGTGGTGACATCAAGACTAAGCAGCTCAGGTGAAACACTCTCCCATTTCTTCCTGTAGTCAGTGCAGGTAGATTTCTGAAAAGTTACGCTGAAAATAGATATGTCAGGTTTCTTTGGAGTGTTTCCTACAGATGCTTGTGTTTGGAGTGGGCACGTAATGAGGAGCAGCTGGGTTGAATTACTTCTGTTGCTGAACTATCTGATTTTTCCCTAGTCCTAAATTGTTACAATTTTTATTTTAAAATGGTGCATCCTGGATGTATTTGATCAGACCAGTCCAATTCCTGTTAAGTCTAGCATTTTTCTAAAGTTCTGTAATCTGTTTTGCATCTGAAATAGTGTTGCTCTGCAACAAAACCCCTGGGCACAGCTGGAGATGTATTCTTTTATATGAAGATGTATTCTGAGTGTTTATTTAGGCATTAGGAATTCCTTGCATTTCATTTAACCTCTACAGAGAGCATTCCTGGTTATTATGATTAAATACTGTAGTAATACACAATATGCAAAAGGAAGGTAATGTGGTTTCTGTAATTTGGTGGATGGCATGTTCTAGCCCACTGTGGTTTATTCTGCCTGGTAATGTATTTGGAGATTTACTTTTTTTAATTTAATAATAAGAAATCCGAATCTTATTTGTTTGCCCTGTCCCGATCAGTTTTGTATAGCTATTTTTGTTTAAGCTGAGCGTATATGAATTGTGTGCATGTCTTTCACAATTTATTTCAAAGCTAGGGCTAGAAATCATACCAAAAGCAGTTGATTATTGCTGTCTTGTTTTTAATCAAGGACTAGTACCTGCTTATTTTAAAAGGATTGAATAATTACATTGGGTATGGCCATTGACTTATGAATTCAGATGTGAGTATGAATTTTTAGTACTTTTCCTCTGGACATGCTCAGGAATAGCATTTTAAATTACAGGAGATTGGGGTAAAAATCTTGTGTCAACTGGTCTTTCACCAAGTGTAGGGAACTGGTGGAGAAGAGATATTAAAAAGAGTAAGAAGAGCATAGTTCAAAGACGTTTTTGTTTGAAGGTCTTGCTTAACAGATTTAGTATACTTGCAAATCTATAGGATAATTATAACTAGAAAAGTGAGAGAGTTGCATCCTTTCATGTTTCCCATGGAAAGGGAAGAGTGTAGCAAGGTAGGAGAGGTCTGAAGCAAGAGTTCAGTAGGTGCTGCAAATGCTCAGCATCTCTGAAAAACAGGCAGTCCCTGTTAACCTAATTAACTTTGGGTGTTGTACTCCAAGGAGGCCCATTGGGAGTGCTGGCGGTGTTCTGTTAAATTCAGTTAAATGCTGTTTGGTTATTGTCTGTTCTCCAACTATGCTGAAATAGAAACTGCCTTGTTCTACAGACTGAAGTAAAATACTTTACAAAGGAAGTAAGTTATGCAGTTTAAAGGGTTATGTCTAACACTGTTGCAATCAATAATCCTTTAATACATTTATCAATTCCTGCATGATCGTTCCACATGTAGCATGCTGAAAACTGGCTCTTGTGGCAGTCCAGATGGCTCTCGTATGAGAATATACCAGCATTAATTTAACAGCAAATATCACATGGAAATAATATGGCATTATTACCAAAAATGTTTGGGTTTGATTGGAATAGCCTGGACTATATTGTCTCACGAACAATTAGTGCAGATATGTAGAATTAAGTTAATAGAGGAAAAGATTGTTGTCGTTGAAGTCATTGCGGTACCAAACAGTTCTCACTTGAGCATGTATTGGAATCCATTGAATTTATTGAGATGGTTTACATTTTAAAACTGAAGGCTGTGCTTCACTGCCTTGCTGAATTAGACTTCTATGAAAGAAAGTAGAAGCAATATGATGATGGTAATAAGAGCAACAGATGGAAAAAGAAAACCATATGGTAGATAAAAGATCAAGTGTTAACTGAATTTGATGACTCTGATAGTGGTGAGTCTTGATCTTTTCCAGTTTTCTATAATCCTAAAATTTAGTTGTTTCACAGATTTATGCAGATTAGTAACCTAATTGCAGCATTATGTAAAAAACAAATCCATTCTCTTTCATAAGAACTTATTCCATATTTCTTTCTTGTGAATCTGATATTTATAAATAGATTCTAGTATCATGGCCAAAATATTATCTAATTTATATATCAAAATGTGGTTTAATTGTTGGAGAGATTCTGGAAGAATCTAAAATTTTCTGTCAGGTAAAATACATCCTTACATCATTTGGGATGTCTATACCATAGGCATTCACTGAAGGCCTAGCATTATCCATATACTATAAAGAAAATATATTAAGAAACCACAGTGGTTATGAGGAACACCGGAAAACAATTTTTTCTCTTTCTCTAAATATGCAAAATGTAATTTATTTCTATTTATTCCTTAAGCCTATCTATTTTGTTAATAGTTAGGAAATGAAAATAACTTTACAGGATAAGATTAAATTGTCTACTCCACAGCTAAATGTTGTTTTATAAGGAGGTTAATCTTTTCTCATTGGGATACTGAAAGGCATTGTTCATTAAGGCTTACACACTGATGTATTTTAAGTAAATGTCCTATACAGTCATCAGTGAGTACACTTTTGATGCAGTCTGCTTAACTGCTCTTATTAGGCATGAGATTTTATAATAAAAGGGGAGGGTATGCAAATAAAAATAACACAGCATTCTGTTTTGGGTAGTGCATGACATTACACTTGAGAGGAAAAAAGGATAGCATACCAGAAAGCTGTAAGAAGGTGTCTTGTTTCAACTGATAAAATATTGACCGTTTTCTTTCTGATTTTAGTAGCCGGGCAAAGGTTAAATAGTGGAAGAATCATAGTAGTAACTAACATGTTGAATCGGCAAACCCAGTGCAAAGAACGTAGAAATTGCCAGCTACTGAAAATACAAAAGACACTTGGAAACCACGCCCCTAAGCAACTACTTTTCTTTATTTCTTTTAATTTTGTAGGATTTTCTTTTTTAAAATAATAGCTGATGCACAGTTGCTCATTCCAGTCAGTAAGAAATTAGACATGTTCCTATCTGTTTGTATGAAGAAGATTAAAAGCTTCATTCTTTGGCCTGCTTAAATACAGAATAGAAGCAATTAAATCCCACTCCCCTACCTCCCACCACATTGAAAGAATCAAGAACTTACTTTTTTTTACTATTTCTGTTTGTGTTAGAATATTGGATACTGCTATTCTACATTTTCTGAGTACATAATTTTATAGCCTTTCATTGAGTATTAGTAAGTAAACTTTCTAAAGGACATCTTACGTTAAAGAGGGCGTAGGGAAATGCTGTCTGAATTTTGGTTATGAAAATAAATACTTGTTACAGATTTTTATTATGTTAGTAAATTTTATGTGTACTTAAAGCTTCTATAATTTTTTTCAGTTGCTTTTGCCAAGAATAAGCTACTTGACACTGGTAACAGACAAAGTGAAGAAACACTTTCAGAAAGTTATGAAACAAGAAGAAGTTAGTGAAATATGGTTTGAATATGAAGGTACACCACTGAAATGGTGAGTTTATTTAAAGTTGTACCTTTACTCAATTTATCATGTAAAGAGTTATCAAGTTCAGCACAGTGTCAGTATTCTTCCTAAACTCATCACTCCATTGGGTTTCAAAGAATAGCAAAAGAAGAGGAGGGTAAGAAAAGCATGGTTTTTGGGAAAAACAAAAGAATTCATGTTGAACATATTTTTGATTATTATGCTTGTGCTTACTATATGTATAAGGCAGAAGTTGTGTTGCACCTACTGTTTTTGTTACTGTTGTTACTGTAATACGGAATGCCTGTGGTTTTTGCTTCATTTTTTCTTGCAGTAGAATCACCAAATCTTTGTTTAGCTTATTCTACCTTCTTCAAAGATACCTAATAACACAGCAAGGAAATATCATTTCTGGAGTCTGAATGCGAAAAGCTTATATGCCTAAAATTTGTCAAATGTGTGTGTAACCTTCAGTTTTCACTGGTGTCATATGTGCTTGTACTGTAAAACAGATAATTAATACTGATGCACAGACTCTTGTTGAATTCATTTATTTCAACTTTCTTGAACTAGTTGCTGTCGAGTGTATTTTTGTTCTGTCATATGGTCTATTAATGTATCTTTTTTTCTTTTTCCTTCAAAAAGGTGGGGTAACCAGACTGCCATTGCTTCATTTACTTAGTTTTCATAAATACTGTTCCTCAGATTTTGTTTCTTTCTATTTCTGCCATAAAGAGTTTTAAAGAAAACATTTTGAAAGCTGCAGTGCTTGCTAGCTCTATATAGATAGCATCAGCTCTCCAGAAAGCATTTAGTATTTTTGAATGCTGAAGAGATTTTATATCTCTCGTATCCTCTATATCAGCAGGATTGAGTGTACCCTCAGCAAGTTTACTGATGATATCAAGCTGGGTGATGAGGTTAATGTGTCAGAGGGAAGGGATGCCATTCAAAGGGACCTGGACAAGCTGGAGAAGTGGGCCCAGGTGAACCTCATGAGGTTCAACAAGGCTAAGTGCAGGGTCCTGCATCTGGGTCGGAACAATCCTCCTTACCAATACAAGCTAGGAGATGATGTGCTGGAAAGCAGCCCTGAGGGAAAGAACTTGGAGGTACTGGTAGATGAGAAGCTGGACATGAGCCACCAATGTGCATCTGCAGCCCAGAAGGCCAACAGCATCCTGGGCTGCATCACAAGAAGTGTGGCCAGCAGATCGAGGGAGGTGATTCTGCCCCTCTACTCTGCTCTGGTGAGACCTCACCTGGAGTACTGTGTTCAGCTTTGGAGTCTCCAACACAAAAAGGACTTTGAAGTGCTGGAGCGGGTGCAGAAGAGGGCCACAAAGATGATCAAAGGGCTGGAGCACCTCTCCGCTGAAGACAGGCTGAGAGAGTTGGGGTTGTTCAGGCTGGAGAAGAGAAGGCTCTGGGGGGACCTTATAGCAACCTTCCAATACCTGAAAGGTGCCTGTAAGAAATCTGGGGAAGAGCTGTTCACTAGGGCATGTAGCGATAGGATGAGGGGTAATGGTTTTAAACTAGAAAAGGGTAGATTTAGGTTGGATGTTAGGAAAAGGTTTTTCAATATGAGAGTGGTAGATCACTGGAACAGGTTGCCCAGAGAGGTTGGTGGAGGCCCCATCCCTGGAGATATTCAAGGTCAGGCTTGATGGGGCTCTGAGCAACCTGATTTGGTAACATTGTCCCTGCTCACTGCGGGGGGGTTGGTCTGAATGATCTTTAAAGGTCCCTTCCAACCCATTCTATGATTCTATGTCTCTTTATTCCTTGTGTCATAATAGGAAAGAAAACTCAGTTTTAGCTTCTTGAACGTGGATTGTCTTGTCATTAGCAAGCTTCAAATCATAAGAGTCCCTTTGAACTTGGTCATGCAGTGGATCACTTCTAGTCTTCTATTTCTTCAAGAGTAACCCAGTGTAGACCTTGAAAATATGTAGATAGAGAAGCATAAAAACTAGCTCTTTTAACTTTTTTGAAACTGGCTGGCAAAACCAGCTCTAGACATATTTAAATTCTCTGGAATTTAATGATAGTTGGGTTCTTGGAGTGCCATAGTGACCGTGAGTCATGGATACCGTCTAAATAAACAGCAAGGTACCAAGTTTGTCCCAGTGTGTTGATAATCTTAGGCAGATAATGGCAGGAAAAATTTAAGTTTTCACTGAAGTTATAAGAAGAAAGGACAGAGAGGCATTTTACCTCAACCAAAAATAGATCTATGTTTCCTATAAGTTTTCAAATATCATTATGTTTAAACTACAAATAAAAAGATTAAATTATAGAATATAGGTATAGAATAAAAATATTAACTATTATTCTAAAATTAAGTTAGTAAACTCATTGAACATTGAAATGAAAATGAATTGTGTAATTATGACCTGCTAACTAAGGCTCTGATCTTTCAGAATATCTAAGCATACTCTGCCAGAAACAGCTCCCCTGATTTCAGTGGAATTGCTTTTGCAAGGAAAATACTATCTGCAAACCATTATTTTAGGAGAATGGTAATCCCCTGAATAGCTGAAGTTTGTTGCAGGGAAGACCCAAATACCAGAACTGAGAATTAGATTGAGCTAGTAGTTTGCAGAGGAAGAATAGTGAGCATTAATGCTTAATCCTTTAAAGTATGACTTCTGCATTCAAGAATCAAATAGAACTTGCTAGTAATATTGCGTATTTTAATTATTTACTGTGCACTGTGAGGTGATACTGCGTACAGTCTGTGTGGTTTCATACCTGGTTGGTATTTTGGGTATCTCTTTTCAGCTGCAGTTCTTCTGTTTTCCAGTGAGATTATGGAGGAAGTCTGAAACATGGTTTCAAATTCATGGTCTGCAACACTCAGACTAAGCCCCTGAAGGCTGATACAGCTCTCCAGGTCTGGAACTAGAGGGGCCTGGGACCTCCCACCAAGGTTGTTTGGGCAGGGAAAGATGGTCTCCTTGTCTGCTGGAAGTGTGTGCTGGGGGACAGTCTGTGTCGTGAGGTTAAGGAGCTGCAGAAAGAGGTCATCAATCAGACTGTGCAGCATCAGAGACTACAGAAGGAAATAGATCAAATCTTCTCAGAAACTGCAGCTACTGGAGTGTAAACCTGGAACTACATTGAAGAGATGCAGACAGGATCTGGGATCATTGGATTGGAAAATGTCTCCTAAGAGATGGAAGGGCTGGAAGTGTGTGACTTCTGGCAGCAGGGGGAAGACTCCTTCTCTACCTCCATTTCTGTAACTAGAGGATAGTTTCAGTGCTCTGGCTGCAGGTGAGGGACTGAAAGCTCTGTCCAGTGATGCATCTGAGATGAACTGTGCAGGGGCACCAGGAGCAAGTAGCAAGTGAAGTCAAAGGTCTGTATTCTGTTTGCTGTCCTTTTCAGTCTCTCCAGGATCTTGAACTCTGCCATTTCCTGGTCACTACCGGTAAAGCTGCCACTGGTTATCACAACCGGAACTATTTTGTCTTGTTAGCGAGCAACAGATTCAGCTGTGGGTCAGCTCTGGTCCATCCAATGCCTGTATCAAGAAGTCTTGACTTCGTGTCCCACTGTGTTGCTTTTCCAGCAGATGTCGGAGACTAACAAGAAGCAGGATCTGTGATGCAGAAACTGCTTGAGTTATTTAAAGAAAACTTCATCTACTTCATCACCTGGATTGCATTATCTGTAGCAAACTCTGTGTGACATTGCTTGTGCTAGTCTCTCCTCTGATCCTGAACAACAAGATCTCAACCAGCCTGTTGTCCATCCCATTAAGTTTCATACATCTAAGCTGCTTCCTCACATAAAGGCAACCTTCCCTTATCTGCCCTGCCTGTCTTTCCTGAGCAGCTTGTGTCTATCCATCCACAACAGCATTCTGGTTGTGCAAGCTGTCTCGCCACATCTCTGGTAACCCAGCATTAGTTTCTCCTGCTTATTTCCCAAACTGTGTGCATTTATGTACATACACTTGTGGTAAACTCTCTTCTACCCTCTCTTCTGATTTTGAGATCTCCCTTATAGCTGTCAATTTCACCACTTGCTTTTCACCCATGATCATTAATTTCTACTTGACTGTGCATTGTTATTCACACCCTTGTTGTTTATGGTCTAAAGGTTTCCTCACCAGGCTGGACAGCCTGAAGGCTTTTGCTCTCTTAGATGAATTCCATTTCTCCCTAGCAGTTTTTTATTCCCAGACTGTCCTGTGGCTGCAAAAGCTAAGTCCTTGCCACACCAGCTGCACAACCAGTTACTGACCTGCAGTTATTGACCAGCATTCACGCCTCTCTGAGCCTTTCTTCTTCAATGGCAAAATTGTGGAGATGCCACCTTGCCCCTGGAGCTGCATAAACTCGAGAGTTCCCGGAGAGCATTGTGATTTGTGTCCATATGGTTGAACAGCAAGGGCTACTGATCCAAGCACAGGACAAACATTGCCAGTCTGTCTGCAACTTCTTAAGCAGCAAACCTCGGCAGGTAGCAAGTGAGATTGGCAGATGGGGGAGGGCACTGTCTCGTGTAGGAGGGAGTCTGCTAGCACTGGGACTGCTTCCTCTTGGTGTGAATGTGCTGTTCAGGCTGCTCTGATGCTTTCTTAGAGCTTCCAGCCTCTTGTCTGCCACTGAGGCACTAACTGCAGGTCAAGGAGGAGCTTGCTCTCTCTTGCCAGAGATTGCAATGTGAGTCTCCATTCACCACTCCAATGACTGAAGGCCCTCTTTCTGTTAAGGTTCTCATCTCTGCAAGGTCTCAGTGAAGATGCTGTTGATCTCTTTTTATTTTCCTTGATGCTGTGCAGCCCGCTGACCTTCTGCAGCTCCTTAACTTGTTGACATAGCTCCTCCACTAACATACACCTCCTCTAGGGCAAGAACACTGCTTCTGCTTGCCCCAGCCCTCAGGAGAGGTCCCAAGCTCTCCTGACAGCTTGAGACCAGGAGAGCTGCATCCTCTCTCAGGATCTCTGCCTGAGTGAATGCCTCTGATGTGCCAGGGGTGGCTTCTTCAGCACATGCTAGGGGACCACACGCTGTAGCTTGTTACCATCCTGTCTGAGCACTTGCATGTGGCCTTCAGCAGCATTTCTGTCCCTTTTCTATAGATTGTGCTCTAGGCCTGGTAGTTGCACAGGTGTCTCTAGTATGAACTGGATGGATGTTTGACCCTTCCTAATTGGGAATTGGTGGAAGTCAGAAGATCAAAGCACTGTTTGATTAGGCATAGCTGACATATTCTTTGAAAATGATGGTTTGCTTAAAAGATCTAGGAAAAAAATTATTTCTTACTGAATACTAAAGGAAAAGGTAAGACTTTCTTCTGATGCAGCCAGAATTTCCCTCGATTAGACATTTGTTCATAGAAATTCCTAAACACCAGATTTTAGCCACATGATACACTTAGTTCCCTAAATAGTTCTGGAGTATAGGGCTTTTTTGTCCTGGATTTACTAGTTCATGTGACATATCTTGCTGAATTACTGCAGTAAATTATTCTGGTCTGAAAAAAAACTCCCAACTCATGTTGTCGCTTTCTGTCCTGGGTTCAGAAAAAAAACTGTTAGAAAAAGTAGTAATTAATTTTCCTTAATGTCCACCTGTCACTTTCAAAAGGAATTTAAGTACTTATCATGGTGTTTTCCAGGACTTCTCTCTCACTCTGAAGCCACTTTCTGTATAATAATAAAAGCAGTAATAAATTGACAATGGCTGGGAGTCAAGGTGGTGCTATACTTTTATAGATTGAAGACTTTCCAGAACCCATCTATTATTCTAGCAACTTATTTAAAAAAAAAAAGTGATCTCTTAGACATTTTCTCTTTGATATTTTTTCCATTATTTCCTTTGAAAGAGTTCTGTGGCATCTGCCTGTCCTTGGCTCCTACTCTAGTTAAGACCAGTTTAATTTCAAGAATCCAGTAATACTTTTTTTAAAATTATACCTTTCTGGGCTGGATGTTTCCCTTTGCTGTTATGCTTGTTTTATCTCTTCTTTTTTTTTTTTTTGTGGGTGGTGAAGGGACAAATCTTTAAAGGCTCTCTTGTGTTTTTGAATTCATTTTTTTTTAATTATTTTTTTATTTCTCCTGGTTACTGTAGGTTCTAGAGAGCATTTGTGTATTTCTTTAACTACAATGCCTATTTTTCAAAAAAGCTCAGAAACAGCATTGCAGCAGTACCACTGGAAGCCAGACCCTTAATGAGGGCATACTGGCTCTGAGCATAGGGTAGATACATGCTTAGGAATGGAATGAGAGAATCTTAGTGGGTTTTTAGTCCATGTACAGATTGACAAGTCCTGTTTTCTTCAAAACTTCTCTTTATGCCTCCCTTAATTCTTGAACCAGGTTTCATTGTGTTGGCCAAAAATTGTGTTTTTTTTCTGGGTAAATGAAAGGCGAATTTTTCATGGGAAACAAAAATTTTACTAACCAATATATTGTCCATTTTGTTCAGTTACCTTTTGCCATCTTTCAGACAACTTCATGATTCTACATTTAAGAAAGTTCTTATCTTTTTCATCAAAAAAGCCAGTTCCAAGGACTATTTGATATCCTTATCAACAGTGAAGGTTTTACCATTCAAGGCATTTTGTAAAGAACAAAACAAATGGTAGTCTGATGGTGCCAGGTCTGGTGAATATGATAGATGTGGTAACACCTCCCATCCAAGGTGCAACAATTTGTGACAAGTGACCAAACTTGTTTGTGGTCTAGTGCTATCATGGTGAAACACATCACCTTTGCAATTCACTAATTCTGGATGCTTCTGTTTGATGGCATCAATCAGTTTATCCAGTTGACAACAGTACACATCTGAATTAATGGTTTGGTTCCTTGAAAACAATGCAAAATACACAATAACTTTGAAATCCCGCCAGACTGACAGCATTGCCTTCCTTTGGTGACTATCTGCTTTTGGAGTGCTTTGAACTGGTTCATCACACTTGCTCCACCATCTTTTTCAGTCGTTGTTGCTGTAGATGATCCATTTGTCATTGTCCGTTATCATATGTTTCAAAAACGGGTTGTTTTCTTCACGTTTCAGGAGAGAATCACAGATGTCAACATGCTCAGTGAGAGGAATTTCTTTGAGCTCACATGGTACTCAAATATCGAGCTTCCTAACGTATCCAAGTTGTTTTAAATGGTTTTCAATGCTCGATTTCAATATGTTAAGATTACCAGCAATCTCTCATGTCACTGAATGCTGATTGATTTGACCAGTGCCTTAATTTTGTCGTTACCGGCTTCGATTTGCCTTCCTGAGCGTGGTACATCTTTAACATCAAAATCTTGGGACTGAAATTTAGCAAACCAGCTCAGATACTGATGTAGTTTAAAGGCATCTTCACCATACACATCACATAACTTTATAAGCTTGTGCAGCAGTTCTTCCTTTTCAGAAGAAATACAGCAAAATAACACAAAAATGTTCCTTTTTATTTTACATTTTGAAATCAGTGCAAAATAAATAATTGGTAATAAAAGTAGTGCACTTTCCTTTTCTAAGACAAGCTTGAACTGTCAGCTGTGAAGTTACATACTTAATTTGTGGTTTAAAATGAAGTTAGTTACATTTCAAGACACATATGTCCATCTATTTAAAAAAAAAAAGGCAATTACTTTTAGGCCAACCCAATATTATGAAGGAAATATAATGATACTAAAGCCATTTTTTATATGGAATCCTATTGCTTCCAGACTCTTAAAAAATGCTTGTAACTGTCAAAAGTAAGTGAAACATAGCATTATGTACAGACATTTCTGAAGGCTTCTGTTGGCTTCAGATTAAACAGCAGCGTGAGAGAGCTGGAATTTGAAGGAAAACGTCTTGTATCTTGGAATTGCTTCACTGCTCTTGTGAACTTTACTCTTAATGGAAAGCTGTGCTGTTGCATAGGAAACTTTCTCTCATGGTCTGCTGTCTTCATTAATCTCATGTGTTCTATGGAACAAAATGAGTTTAGGCCTGACCTTTTTCAAAATAAAAAAAATATATATTAACTGTGCAAAGCATGAGAATTTTACTGAAGAAAGCTTGACTACATGAACTTTATTTAGCAATTTACACGGGGTAGAAAGTACAGAGGTAGACCAAGGACTGATGCTTTTTTTTTTTTTGTAGCTAGGTGTTTTGTTGTATAAAGCGAAAGTAACCGAAAGTCATTGTTTGCGTTCCACTCAGTTGTCAAAGGAAATCTGATTTTTGTTACTTAGCTCATCTGGAAAACCACTTTTTCATTGACACTTGCTGAATCACTGTTGCAGTACTCAAGACATGATTGGTAGTTAGTAATAAAAGGTTTTAGTGGTAAAAACTTCATTACTAGTGAATCAAGATAAATCTGGATATGTACTATCTATTTTCTTTATTCCCTTTGTCAGGAAAACACAGTTTTAGGTACTTTCTTGATATTTCCCCCTATTCTTTTTTTTTTTGTAAGATGTTACAGATGCAATAGTAAGTTCAAGAACTGTAGTGCTGTTTGGGTTTTTATTTTTTAATTATTTTGCTGTTGTGAAGTGACTTTGCCTTAGCTTTGGGGTTAGCTCACCCGTAGAGGGTGCTAAAGCACTGTAGTGCGAGACATTAGCAGGTCAGGAAGTTGGCTTGCTACAGGTGTTTTTAGAGCAATACTCTTGGTTGTTGCTCTCTCGACTTTCAAAGCTTATGTACATGCTTGGCTCTGCATCCTGTGATCAGTCCCATTTAATTCAGTGAGGCTACTGAGTTCCCAGTTGTGTGCTTATCTCTTTGTAGGATGGAAAGCTCATAAGGCTCATTTAGTTAAGATTTTTGAAAGATAAGAGAATGGAGCTTGGTATGCTGAATGCAAAAAAAACCCCAAACCAACCAGCCAATAAAATTTATCAAAAATCTTGCCAGTGTCTGCTTGTGAGAAAATTGCAGAAAGACCTTTTTAGAATACCTGTGGAAGTTTTCTATATGTGAGATACATTCCTTATATTGCTGGAGGCTCTATCTTCTAATGAATTTAGAGGAGGCAAAACTATAAGATAGAAATTAATATTTGGAGGAACCAGTTTCTTTGTATAACTACTTTAATCTAGAATACCACTGGAATACAGAACTCCAATTAATCTTTTTTTTGCCATTCCATTCTTCTAATTTGATAGTAAAGTTACAGAGTTCACCTTGATCTATCTTCTTTCAGCCCTTTTACAGATATGTCATTTTTCCACTTTACTACTTATTCTTTACAGTGACGTCAGGCAGGTAGAAGAGGGAAGAGATGTTAAGGGTCAATGTGATATAAACCCATGGTATTTAAATATCTGAAAGCTTGTATACTTTTCTGTCAGACCAGCTATTTCTACCATTATCAAGCTTTTTAACAAAAAAATACTGTTTTGAAGGATTCTGCAGACCAGCTGTTGGCCACTTATGCTGTTGCAGTGTTTTGTGCATGCAGCTTGGAATCCACTGGTTTAGATATTGAACTTGTAAATTCCAGACTTGGTTCTGCTAGAACCTGTCAGTCATACGTACCTGCCTGTATAACTTCTCTGAATAAGTAATAATGAATGTTAATTGTGGGAGTCAGCTATTTTTTAATGTGGATGCAGTTATGATAACTGTTATTTGTAGAACTAAATGCACAGCTTTTATTTTCATTTAGTATCTTTTCTTTCTTAGGCATTACCCAATTGGTTTGCTCTTTGATCTCCATGCATCAAATACAGCCCTTCCTTGGAGCATTACAGTGCATTTCAAGGTAAATATGCCTTTAGTTAAGAACAAGTGAGCATGGGACTACATGAAATTTGGAAGCTAGGAAAAAGTTTCATAGTTATTTTATAAATCAGTGAATGGTATGACTTGAAAGGGAGAATGGTAATTCTTCAGGAATCACCTAAAGTTTTCTGTGAATCTATGACTGTTTTCTGTGAGATTGTATGTACTTTCAAATTGCCACCTTTGAAAATGATTCTGTTATAATCTGAAAATCCAGAATTCTTAAGGTAAGTTATGGGACTATGCCTGAGCAATTGAGTGGATATAAGGGAAGAACTTCCTGGAATGTTTTTAATTCAGTCGTCTTGAGTTGACTGAAGATTGAAAAATATTCATCCTTTTATGTGCATGAGCATGGATATGAGATACTGTAGAAATCCATGAAGTCAGGGAATGCTGTTGTCTTTCATGTAGGTCTCCATTAGCGAAATGAGTGAAATGAGTTTGGTCTTGTGACAGCTTAGTCATAGAGGAGATATTATTTTGATTACACATTTTAAAAGCATTAGGTATGACTTCACAGCACCACTGATCAAGCTTTGCTCAGAAGAATACTTGTACAGTGTTAGCTTTGGTGCAGGATTCTTTCATACTCTGAAATGCATTGAGACGATAATCACAGGTATGTTTTGAAGTCAAAATCGCAACTAGAAATCATGGTATTTAATTTTGAGACTTTAATTTCTCCATTGTGAAAGAAGCAATGCAACAGGAAAACTGCAGATTAATAGGTTTGACTTTCGTGTGTGAGATTTGAGATAAAATGAAAAGCATATTGGGAAGCAGTTGTGTTGAACGTTTTCACTCAAATTCTTCTCTTGAAAGTCTCTTAGAAAAGATCTTGTTAGCAGGATTAGTCTGACTCTTTTTGGAAGGGTGCACTGGAATTACACATTCTTATGATCTGTATTTCCACATGTTGAAACTTTTAAAATGACTGGCTGAATGAATGAATCCAAAGATGGGGATGTTGTTGAAACCATTGTGATTTTGACACTTCTGTCTGGTATGTGTCAGAGAGAGCTGGGATGAAGAAACTTCTAGAGTCTTTTGAAGAAACTGTAGGGAGTCTTGTTTCATAAATCATGATTTAATTGTTACACATTCTGAGAGATCTGGGAGATTAACAGTGGCAGTGCATGCATGTTGCTATCCCGAAGCAGAGCCATCTTGAGAAGCAAATTGCAGCACCATAGTGCTTTTAAGTTTCTGGTAGTAACGTAAACTGACTTTAATGTCCTTATGTTGTTGCTTACTGAAAGATCAGATAATCAAAGTTTCTCTCAAAGGTGTACATTAAAGATCAGCAGAAATAATTTACCTCTGAGGCGGTAAAGTATTTTGAAAGCTGATGTAATTTAGTTTTAAAAAATATAACACCTTGGATTAAACACCTGCTTAATCTCTCTTCCTGTTTTTGATGTAATCTGAAAGTTTATTTAAATAAGCCCTTCTTAATCTTTAAAGTCGAACCATAACTGAAATATATCAAAGTATGTCAAAATATTGAAGACATTTTCCTATGTTGCAGTTTCTTTCAGCGAAATAGTTTAGGTGTGGGATTTCTGCGTGGATTATTCTTTTCATTTGTGTGTAGTTATTCTTCAAAGAGCCATAGTTTTTATTTGGCTTAGTTGAACAGTATTAGATTTTCCTGGAGTTTAACTTTTGTTGTCCTGGCTTTCTCCTTTTACCGAAACATGCAGTCAACATCACTATCTCAAGAACATCTGTAAAGAGTGTTTTTTATTTCCCCCACCCATCAGTTTTACTTGTTTAAAGTCAAAAACATGAAAAAAGTTTAGTTCTGTTCAGCAGAAGTTTGAAAATTGACAGAAACTTGTAATTGTCCTCCTGTGTTATGTATGCAGACCAAATAATAAACTCACTGTTTGCATTGAAGAAACACTTTATTAATTTGTACTTCTGGTGTGCAATAAAACAACATGCATTTATATCTCTAGTGAAGTTGAAATACAGTTGCCTTAAATAGTTGTAAAAGGACAAGCTTGAACAGAGTACTAAAGTCTGAGAATCAAGAGAAGCTGTAGTCTGGGAAGTTGCTTTTGTTACCCAGGTGTGGCTTTATGGGGAGGTGGGAAACTCCATCCTTTCCTGCTAATCTCATCTCGTGCTGCTCTGTGGTGTGCTTAGCACTGTTCATGTTCTCGGCATGGTAACCTACTCTCCAGATTTTGGGCAGTAGATAAGAGGTGGTGAACTGCTCTGGAAACGGTAGCAGAGAGGGGAAATTGGGTGTGCCAGGGGAAAGGCTAATGTTCTCCCTCTGCTGAAGCCCTTAGCTGCTGGTGATTGCCTCTCCACCCATGGCCTGATGTAGAGGATCTGGTTTTGTATGACAACAGCTGTCATCTTGGTTTTCTTAGCTAAAAATTGGGTCAGGTGTATAAATGAAGCCAGAAGTATAAATGAGGGCTTTCTAAAATTAATCTTTAAAAAAAAAAATTTTTTTTTAAGGGGGAAAAAAAAACCCAAAAAACACAAGCTGCTGATGGTAACTAAACACAATTACATGGATGCTCTGCCTGCCACTGGATGTGTTCCTTATGGGTTTTAATGCCATATTATTGGTATAGTTTTCTGCAAATGTAGCCTAATGCAACTGGACTGTTGTGGTATAAACAAATGTTTTGTGAACTAGAACTGATAGATAAACATGGGTGGATGGAGTTATGAAACCAGACTGTTGAAATTACCTGTGATGCTTTTGGAACAGTTTTATGTGAGAGGTCATTTGGTGCTCCTGTCTGTACAGACGTTTCCTGCTTCTTTATGACCAAGTTAATGCTGCAAGTGTCTACTGGCATGTGAAGCAAAACCAATATTACTTGAGCTTTCTAAGAAAATCAGAGTCAGCACTTAATAACTTTTCTTTCAGAGATACAGAACATGTAGGAAGTAGGACATCACCAGTAAGAGTACTTGAATTAAAGCTGCTTATGGGATCTGTTAAAACTTTCTGCAAATTCTGTAGCTGTATAGCCAGGGATGGCTACCAGCTTGTTTACAGTTGTCTGTCTTCAAAGAACTGGATAAATCTATTTACATTTGATCATTATTTCTTCCAGTAGAAAGAAAACAAGTAGAATTAAAATAAACCATAACAAACAACAAAACAACAAATAAAGCAACAACAACATTTAAGTATAAAACTTATTCTGTGCCCCAGGTTATAAATCAGTGGGGATGCCATATTTTCTGTTGGTAGTCTCATGTAGATGAAACTGTTTCATATGTCTCTTATAGATGCAAGAGTGTCGTTTTCTAAGTTATCACTTTTGTATTTGTGTTTTTCAGCTTCTGCTCACAGTACTGGATAGAAATGTGTCAGTGTTTTTCTTCTAAAGAAAAAAGTAGACAGCACTGAGATTGTAGGAGTGTTTTCCAGTCTTCCACATTATTATCCCTTAGAAGCTGGGAAAATGAATCATGACACACCTTTGTACTACTGTGTCTAGATTCTTTCCACTTGCTTAGCTGGCTTTGACCAGTTTTAAATATCTCCTTGCTGTTCTGCAGTGTTTGTTCTCTGGATCATATACCCAGGGAGTTATATGGGCTGTAATTTGAAACTCATTGTAAGAAATTCAGCAGGGAGATACGTACCTGTATTAATACAAGAATGTCCAAAAAAAAGACCCTGCAGCTCAATATTTAGACATGAGTGTAACAAAACAGTTGTAGTAAAACTGTTGTTTTCATAAACTTAGCTAAAGGTTCAGCTTTTAACTGTGAAAGTCAGTTTCTAGGTTTCTGTATTACTCGGCATTAGGTACATTCCACTGTTTAATCTTTTTTTGAGGGATGTCACTGGCTCACTTTGAATTCTTGCATGTAAAGAACTTTTTTGATCTTGAAGTATGCTATTTCTGACCGTTTGTTTGTTCTGGATTGGTTACCAGACTTTACTTTTTTTTATTTGAGCAAGTAAGTTAAACTTCTAAAAGTATTTTACAGGCCTATGCAGATGTCAGTTGGCAAGTAACAATCCCAGTAATGTGTTCCATTCGTCTTGGGCCCAGTTACGCTGAGACAGTCGGCTTTATGGAGGAGAAAGGAGTACGGTCTGCCCTAGAAGGAGAACTTTCCTTTCTGTTCTGTCCTCTTTAGTGTCTTTAGACTTGGCTATCCCCATATGAGAAACAAGCTTCATCTCTGTCCTTAGATTTCTAGTCAGCTCTACATATATCAGTCCTAAGTAAAAATAGCACTCCATTTGAGTTCAACACCAAACCGTGTATACTTCAGTGGAAAAGATACTAGCAGTCATCTTTTCTCTTTATACTCCTGCTTTTGGAAGATACTTATCCATTTGAACCACAGTTTCCAGAGTCTGAGTTCACTGAGTTCAAGTTCATAAGGAGGAATTGCTATATGAAATTCAATTGTTTAATTTCCAATTATTTTCAATAACCTAACAAGGATGGAACTATCATTCTTGTCCTCAGAATTTCCTTTGGGTAAGACAACCTCCAGCTTCCTTTCATATTGCGAACTGTTAGTGGTTCTTGGATATTTTGAGTTCTCATAGTTTGAAACAGTCTTCCCTATATTTTCTGGGTTTATGTGGAATAGGGAAGGTATGGGTTTTTCCAGCGTTGTATTGCTCCTACTATGACATGTTAACTATGTTGTAAAAGCCTTTGAAAAATATACCATTATATGTACTTGTATTTTCAAAATGGTTTTGACAGTACCTCACAAAAGCTTTTTTTTTAAATAGCCAGTTTGTAGTGGGTTAAGAGGAAGAGTCCACTTGTAGAATAACAGATGTGAATTTAAATTATAAAAATATGTGGCAAACCCTTGTCATGAAGCAGAGTACTAATGATGCCACTCTGGTTCTGGGGCTTTGCACTGTTCAACATAATCATAAGCAACTATGAAAAGAAAATAACTAATGGGATAAAACATGCTGGGTTTTTAAGTCTTTGAAAACTAAAGACAATTTTTTATAAT